CAACCAGTCACTAAAATAAACTATACAGTACTGCCCCGGGTACAGAAATGTGAAGGGCTCAATCATATATCTACAGAAAATGAATTCTGCTCATCATCAATTAAGATGTAATCAAATGGTTTTCTTTTTCTACTGATAAATTGTACACAATGCACTTGCACAGACTTCAAGCTTTACATCTTACTTATCAAGACTAGATATTCTTCTAATCCAAAAGAGAGCCTCAATTACAATACTAAATCTATATTTCAGAGTCATTATTGGTGGAAATTAACTATGGCAAGTAGCCAGACCATTTAACATAGAAACAAAACAAAATTTGCTATAAAATTAAGACAAGATTGAGTAGGTGAACCTTGTCAGCCAACTGCTGTACAGGAGCTTCCCTACTTTGTGCCTCTTCAACTAGACGAACAATGTCTCCCATAATAGTCTCGCCACCTGGTCTCCGCACTTCCACTGTAAGAGTTCCATTAAGATTTATACTTCCAGCTGCAACCTCACTCTGCAAAAATAAAACCCATCAACTAGTCACTAAAATAAACTATACAGTACTGCCCCGGGTACAGAAATGTGAAGGGCTCAATCATATATCTATAGAAAATGAATTCTGCTCATCATCAATTAAGATGTAATCAAATGGTTTTCTTTTTCTACTGATAAATTGTACACAATGCATTGATGAACTTAGAATCAATGATCACAGCATCCATAGGTGCTCAAAGGAACCAAAAATAATATAAACAACTCTAGAAAGGAATAGTTCAGCCAAAATAAAAATGAAAATATCAAAATTAAGACTTTATATACATCAAGCACATGTTTAGATAAACTTTTATGAAAACACTTATAAGAGAACAAACTAGGCAGAAAAAAAATGAAAATAAATTTATTTATAAGTTAATTTTAGAAACTCTCTTATATTAGTTTTTTCAAAAAAAAAATAAAAAATTAACTTATTTTTAAGTTAATTTTTATTATGAATTAGCATATTTAATTTTTTATTTTTTCCTATAAGTACCTATTGAGAAGTAAATCCAAATAGATCTTAAATACATGTAGGATTCTGCTTCCTTCTCAGACTTACCTTTGCTAAGCCTACTGGTGTTGATTTAGAATTCCCATCATCATCTCCATGGATAATATTCCCTTCCTGCATCTCTTCATTCTTGAATTCATGTTCAATATCATCCACGTCATCTTCATCTTCATCTCCCAACACTCTTGGGCTTCCTTTGCAGATCAAGAAACAACAATCAAAATATAAGTTACAAAATAGAAAAAAAATAAAAAAGAAGAAGCATGCATGCATGCGTTCTTTTCTTCTCCACTTTTTCCTTCGGCACAGCACATCACAGTTGCTTAATTTCCAATTACCTTTGATACGCTTGTATCTTGTATGACACTGAGGACAAACTTGAGTCCCTTCCCTTCTTTCATACTCATAGCATGGCCTGCACACAGGGAAACCACATTCTTCACAAGCTACAAATAAGTCTCCATCCACTGTGAGTCCCACAGAATCGCTACATATCTCACATAGCTGACCATCTAAGTTCTTCACAGGCTTAGGCTGCATGCAACAAATTAAGTTGTGTTTGTTATTCAAACATACAGAAAATGTCACCATGTAATATGTTTATATGGATAAGCTTCTTCAAAAACACATCAAGGAAAGAAAAATAAGAAAGAAAATCAAAATAAGTTTCTTTATAAATTAAAATTAATTTATGCACGAGTTAAAATTTAAAATCAAAATTTTGGAGAAACTAATATAAATGAACTTATACAAAATGGTTAATTCATAAGTTAATTTTAACTTATGAAAAAGATTTTTTTTAAAATTTTTCCTTTCTATTGTGTTTTCTTAAAAGTGTTTTTGAAGAAGTTTATATAACCAGATCATATAATTAAAACAAAGGACTTATTTTGCTAGTTAAATTCTCCATGGTTTACCTCATCGTGTCCTTGGATGACCACAAGCTCATTGCTGTTTGGAGTACCAGCAAAAAGTCCAGTACTAGCTTCCATGGTGAGTGGGGAATGGAAGCAGTGCAAGTATGTGTGAGAGAGGTTGAGGTTTTCATATATACCTATTCTCATAAACTATGGGAAAACATAAAAGTGCCTGTTTTTCACGTGTAACCACATATGGGTACTAGTGATGGTTGTGAGGTTACTATTGACGTGAAGGGTTGAAGTTATATTGCAACAAAATATAGTCTTTGAAACCGGGGTTAGAGTTTAATTTGTGTGCAAGAAATATAGCTTAATCCAGAGACATCTTCACATCTTTAGAGATTGTTGGTGAAAGTTCTTCCCTTGTTAAGGTACGTAGGTGGAATAAGCATCTCATGTTTCAGTTTCAAAATGTTTACATTATTGTAGAAACTGGACGTTGTTCCTAATGCTTGACGTTTTATTATGCACATTAGTGACCCTTGTGCTCAAGTTCAGATCCATGTTGCTGCATAGTTTGAAACTCCATCCTTTTCAGCATACTGAGATCTTCTCTTGGTGTTTGGTCACACGAAATTGATTTGTGACACAACCCCACAAAAATGAATGACTACGTGGGGGAAAGGACTAATAAGGATAGCATGTCACCAACTCACAACCTTTATTTATATTCAATTAACATCATAATTAGGGTGAGTTCGAACATTGATTTATTGAAATTGACATGATAGCATTGTTAAAGAGATTGCTCTTGAAGATATTCATACGATGAAATAAAGACTGAACTTGGCAATGTCCGAATTTGGCAACGTCCTTCTATGCAGCAACAAAACATCCAACTTTTAAGCATAAATCTTATTAGTTCCGAATATTTTAAGTTATAATGCATCATTTGTGAATTTTAAAATTCAATACATCATTTATGAATTCTTTTAAAATATTTAATTAAATTTTTAAACTAAAAATTTGTTATCAAGTGTTTTTATCTTTTTATATTTTTGTAATTTAGTCTTTAAGGGTTGGAAATTCATAAAATAATTTTAATATTTTCATACTTGATATACATAACAAGAAGATGACGATTATACACAAAATATTTTTGTGAAAATATAAAGAATATTTTATGAAATTTAATGAATTTTTAACTAAAAGACTAAATTAATATATATATATATTATTCAGCAAAAAGTTGTTAAATAGAGTAAAAAGTAGGTGCAAATTACACCAGTGTAAGTTGGTCCCTCATATATATATAGATAGATAGATAGATAGATAGATGACCTAATCGCAAAATTTTAAAGTTTAGAAACTTAATTGAAAATCTCTTAAAATTTAGGAACCAAATAATGCAAAATTATTTTAATAATTAGATATATTGTTAAAATAAATGAATGACCGATATTAAATGATTTTTTTTCGTGTATTATGACTATTTGTTTATTTAATAATATATTTAATGGTTAAAATAATTTCACATGGATAAGGAACTCTTTTTCAATCCTTATCTTAGAATTAACATTTTTTATTCATTTAAAAGTGTGAAAAAAAAACTCACACAGAACAATTAGAAGTTACTTTATAAATAAATTCTTAAAAAATTATTATAAACTTTAAAGCACTTATAATATATAATTGGATAATAATGTAATATATATATATATATATATATATATATATATATATATATATA